AAGACATCAAACTAAAGGATATTGTTCTTGAAAAAAATCACCAGCTTCACATACTTAGGGAGCAAGATAACCTCTGCGGGAGATACAACATCAGAAATAACGACTCGAATCGCGTTAGCATCAAGTGCCTTTAACAAACTGTCAAACATTTGGAAGTCAAGATCACTCAGCAACAACACGAAACTTAAGGTCTTCAATTCCTGTGTGATCCCAGTGCTAACTTATGGTTGTGAGAGTTGGAAATCATCAGTATCAATGGATAAGAAACTAGTCGCTTTCGAGAATAGATGCCTCCGAAAGCTATTGAATGTTCACTGGTCGGACTTTAGGTCCAATACATCTATAAGACAGGAAACAAAACAAAAATATGTGTCTGATTTTATTAGAATGCGTCGCTGGAATTACATCGGTCACGTACTCAGAATGGACATACAGAGACTTCCCCACCAAGCCTTCATATGGTCACCAGAGGGTAAAAGAAAACAGGGAAGACCAAAAGAAACTCTCCGTAGAACCATCACAAGGGAGAGCTCAACCATAGGTCTCAGTCGCACTCAAGACCTACATCAAGTGGCAAAGAACCGACAGACGTGAAAAGCTATGACCTCTGCCCTATGCGCCAAGAGGAATAACTAACTAACTAACTAAGATAGAATCCCATTTTTGGTGGTAGATGTTGAGCTGTTCTTGGATTTTCCCGTGACAATGCTCGAAATATCATACTTCTTCTTCTGATTACTGGTTTAAGAATCGACATCATAGTACACCGGGCATACCCATAAGTGCTCCGTCTCCCGCAGGAAATGTCTTAAAGTGTGGAAGCTAACTGTTCCCGTAACCCACTGATTACACACACGTCGTTCTCTTTCTCTCAAACGCCCCCCCCCCCCCCTCTTCCTTTTTTTTTTTTTTTGCCGGAACTTCACCTAGTTTCGCATTCACACATTCCTACACATGTTATTTTATCTAATCTCTATTAGCATTCATTCATAAATGGTCTTCAGAATGTCTCATTTTCCGTAACAATTTTCCTGTAGCCAAAGCTTTTTACTGCAACTTTTCTCTAGTTTCTCTGTCTTTAAGCGTCAGGTTTTGAACAGGCACCCAGCACGAGCCTTACTGTTTGCATCGTAGATTCTAGTACACACGCTTCAGATATTCCATCTATGAAAACATAAAACTAATGGAAATTATTACGTTTTTAATTAATTATGATGAAAATTTTCTGCTTGAACAATGCGACAACACACAGTCATCAAACAAGTCGTCGTCGCTTGAAGCTAAAGTTAGGCCTGTCTCTATATACCCAGTCTGTTGCAAGAAACAATATGCACCTGCTTCATTTAGGTTCTTTATACAATTCAGAGCGGTCCCTGTGAGTATTACATAGTTTATTCAATTCTGTCTTTTATTATAATTTCGTTTTATTTGCTTACATATTTAAATACTGCAGTCGTAGCAGTAAGTTCATGTTTGTGTGTGTTTTGTTGCTTGTCCTTGCTCAGGTGGTGAAGGCAAATGGTTACAACGTCGTTTTTGTTTACTGTAAATGGTTTTGTAAAGCTGGTATACACTTTATGTTTTTCTTACCATTTTCTTTCCGACGTCCTGTAATGCCAGTGACACTTTTTTAAAGAACCAGCTACAAAACGATGTCTAATATCTTTACAGATCAGCTATCTACTGTTAGTGTTTTTGTAGTTTCAACTAAACAGCCTAAGTGTGCTGATACGTGGTGTTCTTCCATGAATGGATGATGTTGCACTCAAGTGTTAGGGTTTGATACACGACTACTGTGTAACTGGCTAAGTACGCTGATGGCAGTTTAGCTGTCTGTGCTTGAGTGACTGGTCAAGTACGCTGATGGTAGTTTAGCTGTCTGTGCTTGAGTGACTGGTCAAGAACGCTGATGGCAGTTTAGCTGTCTGTGCTTGAGTGACTGGTCAAGTACGCTGATGGCAGTTTAGCTGTCTGTGCTTGAGTGACTGGTCAAGTACGCTGATGGCAGTTTAGCTGTCTGTGCTTGAGTGACTGGTCAAGTACGCTGATGGCAGTTTAGCTGTCTGTGCTTGAGTGACTGGTCAAGTACGCTGATGGCAGTTTAGCTGTCTGTGCTTGAGTGACTGGTCAAGTACGCTGATGGCAGTTTAGCTGTCTGTGCTTGAGTGACTGGTCAAGTACGCTGATGGCAGTTTAGCTGTCTGTGCTTGAGTGACTGGTCAAGTACGCTGATGGCAGTTTAGCTGTCTGTGCTTGAGTGACTGGTCAAGTACGCTGATGGCAGTTTAGCTGTCTGTGCTTGAGTGACTGGTCAAGTACGCTGATGGCAGTTTAGCTGTCTGTGCTTGAGTGACTGGTCAAGTACGCTGATGGCAGTTTAGCTGTCTGTGCTTGAGTGACTGGTCAAGTACGCTGATGGCAGTTTAGCTGTCTGTGCTTGAGTGACTGGTCAAGTACGCTGATGGCAGTTTAGCTGTCTGTGCTTGAGTGACTGGTCAAGTACGCTGATGGCAGTTTAGCTGTCTGTGCTTGAGTGACTGGTCAAGTACGCTGATGGCAGTTTAGCTGTCTGTGCTTGAGTGACTGGTCAAGTACGCTGATGGAAATTTAGCTGTCTGTGCTTGAGTGACTGGTCAAGTACGCTGATGGAAATTTAGCTGTCTGTGCTTGAGTGACTGGTCAAGTACGCTGATGGCAGTTTAGCTGTCTGTGCTTGAGTGACTGGTCAAGTACGCTGATGGCAGTTTAGCTGTCTGTGCTTGAGTGACTGGTCAAGTACGCTGATGGCAGTTTAGCTGTCTGTGCTTGAGTGACTGGTCAAGTACGCTGATGGAAATTTAGCTGTCTGTGCTTGAGTGACTGGTCAAGTACGCTGATGGCAGTTTAGCTGTCTGTGCTTGAGTGAATGGTCAAGTACGCTGATGGAAATTTAGCTGTCTGTGCTTGAGTGACTGGTCAAGTACGCTGATGGCAGTTTAGCTGTCTGTGCTTGAGTGACTGGTCAAGTACGCTGATGGCAGTTTAGCTGTCTGTGCTTGAGTGAATGGTCAAGTACGCTGATGGCAGTTTAGCTGTCTGTGCTTGAGTGACTGGTCAAGTACGCTGATGGAAATTTAGCTGTCTGTGCTTGAGTGACTGGTCAAGTACGCTGATGGAAATTTAGCTGTCTGTGCTTGAGTGACTGGTCAAGTACGCTGATGGCAGTTTAGCTGTCTGTGCTTGAGTGAATGGTCAAGTACGCTGATGGAAATTTAGCTGTCTGTGCTTGAGTGACTGGTCAAGTACGCTGATGGCAGTTTAGCTGTCTGTGCTTGAGTGACTGGTCAAGTACGCTGATGGCAGTTTAGCTGTCTGTGCTTGAGTGAATGGTCAAGTACGCTGATGGCAGTTTAGCTGTCTGTGCTTGAGTGACTGGTCAAGTACGCTGATGGAAATTTAGCTGTCTGTGCTTGAGTGACTGGTCAAGTACGCTGATGGCAGTTTAGCTGTCTGTGCTTGAGTGACTGGTCAAGTACGCTGATGGCAGTTTAGCTGTCTGTGCTTGAGTGACTGGTCAAGTACGCTGATGGCAGTTTAGCTGTCTGTGCTTGAGTGACTGGTCAAGTACGCTGATGGCAGTTTAGCTGTCTGTGCTTGAGTGACTGGTCAAGTACGCTGATGGCAGTTTAGCTGTCTGTGCTTGAGTGACTGGTCAAGTACGCTGATGGCAGTTTAGCTGTCTGTGCTTGAGTGACTGGTCAAGTACGCTGATGGAAATTTAGCTGTCTGTGCTTAAGTGACTGGTCAAGTACGCTGATGGAAATTTAGCTGTCTGTGCTTGAGTGACTGGTCAAGTACGCTGATGGCAGTTTAGCTGTCTGTGCTTGAGTGACTGGTCAAGTACGCTGATGGCAGTTTAGCTGTCTGTGCTTGAGTGACTGGTCAAGTACGCTGATGGCAGTTTAGCTGTCTGTGCTTGAGTGACTGGTCAAGTACGCTGATGGAAATTTAGCTGTCTGTGCTTGAGTGACTGGTCAAGTACGCTGATGGCAGTTTAGCTGTCTGTGCTTGAGTGACTGGTCAAGTACGCTGATGGAAATTTAGCTGTCTGTGCTTGAGTGACTGGTCAAGTACGCTGATGGCAGTTTAGCTGTCTGTGCTTGAGTGACTGGTCAAGTACGCTGATGGCAGTTTAGCTGTCTGTGCTTGAGTGAATGGTCAAGTACGCTGATGGCAGTTTAGCTGTCTGTGCTTGAGTGACTGGTCAAGTACGCTGATGGAAATTTAGCTGTCTGTGCTTGAGTGACTGGTCAAGTACGCTGATGGCAGTTTAGCTGTCTGTGCTTGAGTGACTGGTCAAGTACGCTGATGGAAATTTAGCTGTCTGTGCTTGAGTGACTGGTAAATAATTACACATGTATCAGCTTGGCAATGAAGATGGCGAAAATATTTCACAAGTGTCTATTGATACCGCCAACTACTTAAAAGTGGAGATCGTAGCTCATCATCATTATCATGTAGCAGGTCCTTTTGCAGAACGTCGCTCTCATCACAGTCTGCCTGAAAGAAACTCGGTCTCTCGCCAGTTCTCCTGCCTCATGCACTTTCATTCTCAAGGAGTCACTTATATCCTGTGACCATCTTCGTGTTGGTCGGTCCCTGCCCATATCGTAGCTACTAAGGTTAAATCGCCCAATTTGAATTGTTCTTCTTGTGTAGAATAGTTGGTGTGTCTATTGATACGCTAGCGCGAAGAATTGTGTTGCTGAATTTATTACTATATGAATCGGTCCGAATGCCAGTTTAAATGGGCTCTACATAAAGACTTTTGATGTCTATTGAATCGGTAGCGTAAAAATTGTGTTCCTGAGTTTTGATTACAATTGTCTATCTTTACGGCTGATGTTTTAATGTGCCATTTATGCAGTGTACATTTTATTGCAATGTATTAATACAGTAGCATGTAAATACGTTTAGTGTCGCTGCGTCTGTTTAAAATAAATTGCCTAACTGCAACACAGTCATTCTCGGTAGTACCCGCTGCCTGTGTGCACACCAAATAGTCTGCTCAAAAGTAACGCTATCCTTCGCAATAGTTCTCTAGACATTGTCGGGCTTAGAAAATTGTTATCTTCACGACCCTGTTGAGTATTTATAGTTATCTCGTCGCTATTATTGTTATTATAACTTGTGTCATTATCCTCATCATCACTGTCGTTGTCTCTGTCCTCGCTCGACGAGGAAGGTAAAAACAAGCGAGGAGCATTACTTAAACGACCGAAGCGTCGAAACATACTTCGATGATCAATTGAGTCAAAGTGACGTTTTGAAAACAAGGGTTCGGAAAACTCGGAGGCATCGTCTAAAATATCCTTTGCCGTTCTTTCGACAGTATCCACCAACTGTGGATTGTAATACCCGCTCTGCAGGGTCAGTTTTCCTGTGGGACTCAAGGAGTAATCCAAATACAGCGGTGTTATTTCTGCTGAATCATCAGAAGCTTCGTCAGGAATAGAATCTCTTTTCCCGAAAATTCTAAAATCACTGTTGTGTTCTATTGAATCAAATCGTCGTTTTGAAGCCAATATGTCATCAGCACTACCATCTACATTGTTCTTATTGCTATCGGAAAAATCATTTCCTTCAACGATGCTCGCCAGTCTGGGAGGTTCAAGTTGATCCAGGGTGTTGGAATTTCTTTTTCTGCCGAAGCTATGAAACCTTGATGAGTCTGTGATTCTATCAAAGTGACGTTTTCCAAAGCCACCAAACGAAGATGCCCCTGCTATCTTATCAAAGCGACGTTTTCCAAAGCCACCAAACGAAGACGCCCCTGCTATTCTGTCAAAGCGACGTTTTCCAAAGCCACCAAACGAAGACGCTCCTGCTATTCTGTCAAAGCGACGTTTTCCAAAGCCACCAAACGAAGAAGCTCCTGCAATCCTGTCAAAGCGACGTTTTCCAAATCCCCCAAACACACCCGCCCCTGCTATCCGGTCAAACGGTCGTTTACCAAATGAACCAAATCCACTAATACCACTTCCAATACGGTCAAACTTTCTTTTGTTAACATCTGCGAGACCACTTAGATCAATTTGCGCCACTAGCTTCTCTACATCAGGGTTAAAATCTGGCTTTTCAAAAACCCCAAAATCATTTCCACTCTCAATTTGATCTAATTTTCTGTTCGAATTAACAGGAAAACTAAGGAATTTATGATCGCTGCCACCATCTTCATCACCACCACCCTGCCGCTTACCAAATGATCTGAAGTTACTCACTCCACTGATTCTGTCAAACCGTCTTTTATTCAAGTCGTTATATTCCCGGTCAGTATCGACGCCATCAACACTGCGCTTCACCAGAGAACCATGGTTGTTGCTGATGTCCTTACTTAACATATATGGAGTCACCTCTTGAGCACTACGTTTCACCTTTGTTGCAGTTGTTTCTGCTTGGTCCATTTCTAGTGTATTGTCTTCCGCTGCACTGTCTGAACCCGCATATCTTCTAGCTCTCGATTGCTTTCTTTGAATGCTTGAATTTGTGACTTTATCCGAAACTTCTGTATTTTTGTCAGGCATGTTTTCGTGATTTACTTTTTCATTATTTTGCACTTTATTCAATGTGAAGGAGGAAGAATCATTATGCACAGAGGTACTCCTTTTCCTCACCTCGTCTTCTCTTTTGCCAAAAGAACCAAATGAACTTAATCCTGAAATGGAATCAAATCGTCTCTTTTCCCCGTCTTCCCTTTTACCAAAAGAACCAAATGAGCTTAATCCGGAAATGGAATCAAATCGTCTCTTTTCCCCGTCTTCCCTTTTACCGAACGAACCAAATGAACTTAATCCTGAAATGGAATCAAATCTTCTCTTTTGCCCGTCTTCCCTTTTACCGAACGAACCAAATGAACTTAATCCGGAAATGGAATCAAATCGTCTCTTTTCCCCGTCTTCCCTTTTACCAAAAGAACCAAATGAGCTTAATCCGGAAATGGAATCAAATCGTCTCTTTTCCCCGTCTTCCCTTTTACCGAACGAACCAAATGAACTTAATCCTGAAATGGAATCAAATCTTCTCTTTTGCCCGTCTTCCCTTTTACCGAAAGAACCAAACGAACTTAATCCTGAAATTGAATCAAATTTTCTCTTTTCCCCGTCTTCTCTTTTACCAAAAGAACCAAATGTGCTTAATCCGGAAATGGAATCAAATCTTCTTTTTTCACCACCTTCCCTTTTACCAAAAGAACCAAATGAACTTAATCCGGATATGGAATCAAATCTTCTCTTTTCCACGTCTTCCCTTTTACCGAACGAACCAAATGAACTTAATCCGGAAATGGAATCAAATCTTATCTTTTCTCCGTCTTCCCTTTTACCAAACGAACCAAATGAACTTAGCCCGGTAATAGAATCAAATCTTCTCTTTTCTCCGCCTTCCCTTTTACCAAAAGAACCAAAGGAACCTAATCCGGAAATGGAATCAAATCTCCTCTTTTCCCCGTCTTCCCTTTTACCGAACGAGCCAAATGAACTTAATCCGGAAATGGAATCAAATCGTCTCTTTTCCCCGTCTTCCCTTTTACCAAACGAACCAAATGAGCCTAATCCGGAAATGGAATCAAATCGTCTCTTCTCCCCGTCTTCCCTTTTACCAAAAGAACCAAATGAACTTAATCCGGAAATGGAATCAAATCGTCTCTTCTCTCCGTCTTCCCTTTTACCAAAAGAACCAAACGAACCTAATCCGGAAATGGAATCAAATCGCCTCTTTTCTTCGTCTTTTCTTTTACCAAAAGAACCAAATGAACTTAAACCAGAAATTGAATCAAATCGTCTCTTCTCACCATCTTTCCTTTTGCCAAAAGATCCAAATGAACTAATCCCGGAAATAGAATCAAATCGTCTCTTCTCACCATCTTCCCTTTTGCCAAAAGATCCAAATGAACTAATCCCAGAAATGGAATCAAACTTTCTTTTGTCATAAGGAAACGTCAAATCCCTGCTGTTGGAGTCACTGAAAACAGAATCAGATGTTCTACTGAAGTGGCTCTTGTCAAAACCATCGTTAAAAATTGGGTAGTTCTGCTTCGCTTGGATTGGTAGGTAATTATGCCAGACACCATCCCGACTGTACTCCTTATCATCAAACATATATCCTTCGTTAGTTTCTGAAGATGGAACTCGTTTTCCAAAAGCAGCAAATCGATGGTTTCCGGAAATGGCATCGAACTTCCGCTTCATACGAGATGGTGAATTGATAAAG